TGATAGAATGGTTAATAAAACCTAGAATAGTCCAGAGAAAAATGACTTGAAGAGAACAATCTCTAATTTCACAAAATCTTGACATTGCCTTTTTTTAATTTTTTAATAATTTGGGAACAAAATAAGATGAAGTAAATGTAAATGTCAATTAAAAGTGATATAACATAGATATGAAGAAAATTAACCTGATTTCAAGATTTATCAAATATCAAGAATTAGCATCTTAAGGAAGGTTGTGAAATCTATTCATTTAATATACTTTCAAATCTTTTTGAGAAGGTTTAGGAATGGTTTTATAAGAAATTAAGTAAGGAGATGAAATCTATTCTGGAGGATTTTGCCATTATATTTAACTGTGTTAAAATGGGATTCTAGCAGGTTTAGGATATTTAGCACTTTGAATATATGGAGTGACTTCCAAACTTCTTTCCTTTATCAAGAACTTGCTATATGCCAGGCACCATGCTGGATCCCATGATCAAGGTAAAAACTGTTATTTCAGAGACATCAGGATCCAACTAGAGAGAAGGCTTTATAATAATCATAAAGCTTATAATTATAGCTATAATGTATTGAGCTTTCACTGTGTTCCAAGCGCTGTTGAAATTTCATTAGCTCAGGTGGTTTTCAGAGAACATTCCATGAGGTGAGTAACCATCTTCATTCCCATCTTAGAGGTGAGTTTTCTAAAACTTAGTGATCAGAAGTAGTTCTACAACTAGAAAAGGATTCAGCTTACTTGGCTCAAGTACACTCCAGACCCTGACTATTCTTAATCACTTATACTCTGCAGTGTGGATGTACAGGCTTGGCATCAAAGGTTTATTTACATGACTGGGCAGAAGGCAAAAAGGCTTTCATTCAACCTATAGGGGTAAAAAACAGCCTACATCTGATCCTTGGGTGAAACCCTGTAAGCACAATTCTTTTCTTTTAGTTGTATGAACTTCAGCCTCTTGTGGATGAACCACATGAATATGTAAAAAAAGATTGTGAAACTTTTGAAAACCTTGGAGAGTATGGCTTCCAAGATGCGTACGTATTTTTGTTTTTGACTAATATTTTTCTTGATCAGTTTGTAATTTTTAAAGACTCTCTCTCTCTCTCTCTCTCTCTCTCTCTCTCCATATATATATATAGTTTAGAGGCCTGGTGATGAAATTCACCTCTCCAATCCAGGACCCCTCGGGAGATGTCCGACTGCCGGTGTGTGATTGGGCCTAAACCAGCAGTCAGACATCCCTCTTGCAATCTGGGACTACTGGCTCCTAACCACTCACCTGCCTGCCTGCCTCATCACCCCTAACTGCCTCTGTTTGCTGGCCTGATCACTCCCTAACTGGTCCCCTGGCAGCCTGGCCGCCCCCTCATGCCCCCCTGCCAGCCTGATTGCCCCTAACCTCCTCTGCTTCAGCCATCTCACTACCTGTCATACATGAAAATACAGTATATATTTCTAATCCCTCTCCATTAAGAAAAACTGGAAAATGAGAGATAAAATAATTGATGGGTTGTAGAGACTTATATTTGAGTTCAGTTTAAAAAACTAGCCTCTTGAGACTGGGAAGGAAAATACTAAATCTTTTGATATAGAAACTGAGGATTCCCTTTGAAGGTTAAGAAATAGTTATGAACAAACAAAAGACAGCAATGCTTTCCAGAATAGCAACTAGTTGGACTTGAATGACAGTGGATCAAGAAGTACTGCAATGCATAAGTTGAAAAAATAAAATGCTGATTTAGTGGAGCCTTATCTGTGGAAGTAAAGACAAGTAGGGAAACATCATTAGGTAGACATTTACTGTTCAACTTACATATATAGCACTCTTTTAACTGTGGGTGCTAGGGATAATAATAATTAACAAGTCTCTTCCCTTGAGTAGATTACAGTCATATATCGACTTTCAATGGTGGTTGGAATTCTTAGTAAAGAATTGTTACATGCTAGACATCATACCAGATTGATGGCATGCTTTATGTCTTTTAATTTAATCCCTGCACCATTCCTATTGAGTCAGGTATATTTCATCCCATTTTATAGATTAGAAAACTTATCCATATCTTTCTAATTTAGCATGGTGCTGATATACAAGAGAGAGCAATAGTAGGAATACAATTGTGAGTATGCTAAACAGAGTTAATAAAATTAATATAATTATAACCAGCATATCTTTTTTCCATATGAACAACTGTAAATCTACTTTAGACCACTCCTGCATCTTAAGCTCTCTGTAAGTTTTATTGAGAGAAAAAATCAATTAATAGATATATTAATGTTACTGAATTATAGTAAGTTAAGTCATTTTCCTAAGACTACACAGAACAGGTGGAATTCAAATTTAGGCTTACCTATTTGTTTAAGACGAGGTCTCCCCAACTTCCTCTCAAATAACCTAAATATAGAAATAACTTTATGGATGGAAAATTATTATAATTGATTTTGTCTGTTTTCTGCTTCACCTACTATGTTAGAAAAAATAGTTTTATGCCCGGCTGAAAACACTGGACTATTTTGTTACAGGCTCTTAGTTCGTTACACCAAGAAAGTACCCCAATTGTCAACTCCAACTCTTGTGCATCTCTCAACAAAGCTCGCAAGCATGGGCAGCAAGTGTTGTATACTTCCTGAATCACAAAGAACAGCTTGTGCTGAAGACTATGTGAGTCTTTTGAAATATAATAAGTCAATAATGATGAATTTTGGTCTTGAGATATTTACAAAGTTAACTTTCAGAAGCAAGAGTGAACTAACGTGTGTGTGTGTGTGTGTGTGTGTGTGTGTGTGTGTGTGTAGGACTTGGTTGCCTACATTATCCTGACCATCAGAATGAGGATTGAGACAAGATCCTGAAGATGATAAATTGTTCTGGAAAAATTCCATAAATTTTAAACGTTTCAATCTGGCATTAAAATTTTTTTACTTTTTGGGAAGACTGCTTTCACCCCATTCCAACACATACCTTAGGAATCACCTCAAATTATTTTAATCAATTATTTTATTGAATGGATTATTCTGCAAATGTAGACATATCTAAAATAGAAAAGACTTTTAAACATCCCTTAAAACTTGTAGTAAGCAAATCACTCCCTCATGTCAATCTTGCATTCAGAGTTTCTAGTTAAAACACAACACTTTTTTTGGTCCATGGGAAAGTAGGAGTTCAAGAAAACTTTTATTATGCTTTTAAATTTCTGCTGGACTCCCTGTTCTTTAGCTGTCCGTGGTCCTGAGTGTGTTTTGCACGGCACATGAGCAGACACCTGTAAGCAACAAAGTGACCTTATGCTGCACAGAGCCATTCTTGGACAGACTGCCATGCTTTTCCGCTCTGGAAACTGATGAAACCTATATTCCCAAACAATTTAATGTTGCAACATTCACCCTCCATGCATTTGTATGTGCACGTGCTGAGCCTGAGCAACAAGTCATGAAACAAATGTGAGTTGCATTTCATTACTGCATATGTTTGTAATCTTCATAGGGAGAACTGTCAATGGAATGAGTAACTTTTTCTGAAGTAGTGATTAAATTCCTTAGAAAATAGTATTTAAGTATTTTTCTTGTTAAGGTGATAAAAGTGTAAAAAAAAAAGAATAGCTTTTGTTTTCTTAGCAAAACAAGCAAACAGCAACAAAAATACTGTACTATATATTTGCCCAAAAATTATTCAGAATAATCTTGTGGGTAAAGGCTATCTATACTAATGAAAGGGTAATATGATAATTAGACCAGCAAGACCGGACATCTTCTGGACATCCTTCCGGACAAAGCTATGATAGCGGGGGCCGAGGCAGAAGCAGTTAGGGGCGACCAGGCAGGCAGGCAGAGGGGTTATGGGCAATCAGGCAGGCAGACAGAGTGGTTAGGGGTGATCAGGCAGGCAGGCAGGCAGGTGAGTGGTTATGAGCCAGTGGTCCTGAATTGCAAGAGGGATGTCTGACTGCCAGTCGGACATCCCCCAACGGGTCCCGGATTGGAGAGGGTGCAGACCGGGCTGAGGAACCCCCTTCCCCCATGTACAAATTTCATGCACTGGGCCTCTAGTAGTAGAATGATATCTTAAGACAGGTACAATAGAAAAAGCTGAATAATTAACTGATTCATTTGTGAGGTAGTAAATAAGTTAGGCAAAGTCTTAGAAGAATTTATTCCTAGGCATAAATGACTTTAAGTTTGTATTATGCTATGGCAAACCTATGTGATGTAACTTTTGAGAAGGGCATTTGGATGAAACACACGTAGAAGTGTGGATTCTGAGATTTGACTCTCTGTCACTGTCACAAGCAGTTAGATATGCAATATAAAGTTGCTGTCATGTCTGGTGGGTTCTGACTCTGATCGTGGCCATAGACTTAAGAGGAATATTGCAAAACTTACTGTGCTCACAGGACTCTCTAGCACTATTATCTGTGCAGACATCAATGAAAGAGAACAACTGGCTCCCATGAGTTTGGATAGTCTTATTTCCCCTGGCCCAGGCATATTCATTTTGAATAGACCAACTAAAGACCAAAAATATAGAATCTTGGATTAGAAACTTTAAATAGAGTCTAAGGTAATGAAGCTGCTAAGAATAATTTTTTAGCTTTTACATTGCTATAAATGGAATACTTTTTAAATGCAATGGCATAATGATTTCCAGAGATTTATTTGAGAAGAGTTTATTGATTTGCTGATATTATAGATATTGAGCAATTTTCATTGGTGATTTTATTTGAACCTTCCACCAACTCCATGAAGGTAGATTTTATTCTCTTCCCGATGGAAATGAGAATATTGAATTTTATAGTGGTAAGCCTGGGCCTCAGGCTCACAGTTGCCTGGCTCCAAGAATTATGATCTCAAACAATAGTAATACTGCCTTTACCATCTTCATTTTCTTTATGTGAGTAACCTCTTTTTCTGTTTTGTTTTGGTTTCATTTAAATGCAGTGCACTTGCCGAACTGTTGAAACACAAGCCCAAAGCCACCGAGGAACAACTGAAAACTGTCATGGAGGAATTCTCAGCTCTTATACAGAAGTGCTGTGCAGCTGCTGACAAAGAAGCCTGCTTTGCAGAGGAGGTACTGGAGTCTTCTTCATTTTAATATACAGTGTCCTTTGTTGTGGCCTGTTTAGGCTAAGGCTCAGGGGACTGTGTCTGAAGGGACACTCTGTACATAGGGTCCAGGAATCTTATTCTACATATTAGAGGCTCTGTGCATGAATTTGGGCACCAGTGGGGTCCCTCAGTCTGGCCTGTGGGATTGGGCCGGAACTGTCTCTCCAACATCCCCTGAGGGGTCCGGGATTGCGAGAGGGTGCAGGCCAGGCCAAGGGGCCCCACTGGTGCATGATGGGGGCCAGGAAGGGACATGGGAGGTTGGCCAGCTCAGTCCCCATCAGCTGGACCTCAGCAGCAAGCTCACCTACTGGTCAGAGCATCTGCCTCCTGGTGGTCAGTGCACATCATAGCAACTGGTTGACTGGTCCACTGTCTGCCCCCTGATGGTCAGTGCATGTCATAGCGAGCATTTGAGCAGCCTTAGCATATCATTAGCATATTACGCTTTGATTGGTTGAATGGTCGACTAGACAACTGGACACTTAGCATATTAAGCTTTTATTATATAGGACTAGAGGCCCAGTGCACAAAATTCGTGCACAGGAGTGGGGGTCCCTCAGCCTAGCCTGCACCCTCTCCATTCCAGGACCCCTCGGGGGACCCCTCGCAGGGATCAGGCCTAAACCGGCAGTCAGACATCCCTCTCATAATCCGGGACCGTTGGCTCCTAACTGCTCACCTGCCTGCCTGCCTGGTCACCCCTAACTGCCCTCCCCTGCTGGCCTGGTCGCCCCTAACTGCCCTCCCCTGCTGGCCCGGTTGCCCTAACTGCTCACCCCTACTGGCCTGGTTGCCCCTACCTGCCCTCCCCTGCCGGCCTGGTCGCGCCTTACCATCTCTGCTTTGGCCCCCGCTGCCATGCTTTGTCTGGAAGGATGTCCGGAAGGCTGTTCAGTCTAATTAGCATATTACCCTTTTATTAGTATAGATAGTTGTCTGGAAAAAATGACTTAAATTAACTCTTACTTTTTTCTCCTGATGAACTGAAGCATATTATTATACGTTTGTAGTATTTGTTCTGTTTCTAAAGTTGTCATTCATGAATACAGATAGAAATATTCAGAAGTTCTAAATTCTTTTGGTAGAGTCATCATTAAACCAAAACCTTAATTTATTTAAGCATTTTATTTAAAAGTACTGGTTTGCAATTTGGTTGCATCTGTGTGCTTGATTTCACAGGCACAAGGGGGAGTTTATATTTAAATGTCTGAGTCAATTACTATTTTCCCCTATGACTTGACAATAATGCTTTTATTTATTTGGGTGCAAGGGTTGCCATTAAGTTTCCTTCTAGAGAGTCTAGTACTAAGCTGGTATTAAAGGATGTGAAGCATGGAAAATTACTTTGTAATCATCGAATGGTTGTATAAATGTTCATTTATCCTAATAATGATGCTAATACTTATCCTAATTCTCTAATTTCTGTGTATCCAGGGTCCAAAACTTGTTGCTTCATGCCAAGCAATTTTAGCCTAAAATCAACAAAATCACAAGCATCTCAGGTAATATCCTCTGGATTTTCTTTAAAAAAAAAACCAAAACCTGAACTAATTATAATAGTTAATATTAAAATAGCTAAGAGCCATGTGGACTAGTACCAATCACTGTTTTAAGGTCTTTTTATATATTAACTTATTTATTTCTCACAATAGTTGTCTGAGTTAAGTTCTATTATTATTCCCATATTTCAGATCAAAGCACAGATCAACCATAGACCAAGTAGTTTACCAAGGAACATCCAGATTCTGAGAGTTGGAGCCACAATTCAAAATTGAAACCAGAGCTTGATAGTTAATCACTGTCCTGTTCTGACCTAGTGTGACACAGTAGACAGAGCCATTCAACTAAGCAATGATTCAGAGTGGATTATTTCAGCTATTAGGCTGAGCAATATGAATTTCTGTAGGTTAAAAAAAATTGAATGGCAATGATTTCACAAGGTTCAAAATAATAGCTCAATACCAAATTCATGACATTGGAGACTATGAGAAATCTGCTATGTGAACTCCTACTTAATAGTAAATAATTTGCTACTGAATTTTGAGTATGTCAATATGCTGAGTGTTAATAGAATTTCTCTTCTTAGGATAAAAAGACCAACTTTAAAATTTAAACATGTTTTATCCATTTTGGTTGTAATATTTTGGAGAAAATTAAAAAGGAAACTTTCTTTCTTAAAACAAGTTGTCTAGTGATTTTTAGCATGAATTCCATTCATATTTTCCAAACTGACTGTGATGCTTATTCCACTAACTGGACTTTAACTTACTCTTTGCCACATGATAATACCTACATATTGTGCATTCAGGCAAGGAAGACTTCCTGTCTCTGCAAATTGGTTGTTTTAAAATGTGGTTTGTTTCAGTCCTAAGTGGTAAGATTTTCTTCCTAGAGGTCTAACTTGAAGAAGACCTTGTTGGTTTGTAATTAATGAAGGTAAGAGATAGGTGTTTAGTAATTGACTCTGAGGAGTGATGTTGGAAGCTTGTGACTTTGAAGCCTGAGGAGTAACATGATATCAGTGATGAAGAGAGCACTTTACAATACCTAGTGAGGTGTCTGCTCCCCTAGCTCAGCAGAAGAATTCAGCTGCCATGGGTCAAGGGCAAGCTTGAATTATTTTCATTGGTGAAAATTTGAAATTGCAGAAAGACAGTCTAAGCTATTTGACATTCATTTAAATAGATCTAAAAAACGCATGCCATTTTATAAATGGTACTTATATTTGCCCTTTTGTTTTTCAGTTTACCCTGAGAGAAAGAAAGAGAAATGAAGACCCAAAGTTTATTCAACTGTTTTTCCTTTTATTTGATGTAAAACCAACAGCCTCTCTAAAGAACATAAGTTTCTTTAAATTGTTGTAATGTACCCCGCGAATCACAGAAGGACGCCTCAAGAAGTCGAATTAAAGAGTCACATTTATTGCAATCCGGGACTATGAGGGGACATTCCCAAATCTCATAGCAATAAGATGGTGGCAAAACCAGACTTATATAGGCAAAAATCACAAAGGTATTGATTACATCCCAGGGTTTGGAATGAGGACCCTGGTTTGCACAAAGCAGTTACAGAAGCGAGATTGAGCTGATTAGTTATCTACAAAGAATATTTATAGTTTTGGGTCTTTGGACCACTGAGTTGACAGAAACACATTATTTAGAGCCCTCGGGTCTTGGGACCACTGAGTTGACAGAAACACATTATCTAGAGCCATCGAGGCAATTTAGAGTAATTGCACTGTCCTGGTCTTAGGACCACTGAGTCAACTGGAACGCACCACCTGTGGCCACTAAAACAATTTAGGATAATTGTGCTGTCCTGTTTCCCAGGTACAGAAGAATGTGCTTCGATAACCAGTAAGATCACAATCAATGGGATAGTCATTCAATCAATAAGGCATTCAATCGAATGGGATGACTTATACAATTTAGAAAATCAAAGTAACCTGTCCATTGTTAAACAAAGCAAATAGGTACCATACTTCAAAATATTTTGCCTTCTTTCTCTGTGATGTAACTAAGTAAAAATATAATATTATGGGTCAGGATATTATTTTCCTTTTTTCTCATTTCTTTTTATTTATTTGTGTGTTTCTTTTTCGACTGTTATATTTCAAAAAATGGTTGCCATCCTGAAAATTTTGAAGGTTCTGTTAAAGTGTCATTGTTCTCTTTCCCCCACTTCATAGGAGGACTTCTAGTTCCCATTGGGATAATTAAGTAAAAGAAACATTAATACTCGTCTGAGTTGAGGATTATGAACATTGAAAGTAATATTTTAACATTATTATAATTCTGAAAAAAAGAGTAAAGATTGTGGTACAGGTAGTATATGAAACCTGGCATTTCCTTACTACTAGAACTCTCTAAGTAATGTGAGGTACAAAGAAGACAGAGATGATTGTAAAGACAGTTAATTGAATGGAGAAGAAAACACTGATCCTAGAAGAAATTTAACAGTCTAGGATGACAATACATGAAGAGTGTAATAAACTTAACAGGTTTGTAAAAGCATTAGTGGGAGAAGGAAGTAGGAGCTCTGGACAAAAGCACAGTAAGGCTTGATTAAGGTATATTGAATTGAGAAAGTATGAGTTGGAGGATAACATTTTCTTGTAAAAATTAGATGTTATACTTGTTAAGTTTGATTAAATAATTTAATCAATACCCCTCTCCTGGGAACTGACCTTTAGGCCACTTCACAACGGACATTCCACTTGCTTAGACCACATTCCATTTGCTAAGACCATTATCTCTCCCCTCTGGACTTTCCCAGAATCTGGACCTGCACAGAGAATTCTCTGCCTAGAACAGTGATGGCGAACCTATGACACGCGTGTCAGAGGTGACACGCGAACTCATTTTTTTGGTTGATTTTTCTTTGTTAAATGGCATTTAAATATATAAAATAAATATCAAAAATATAAATCTTTGTTTTACTATGGTTGCAAATATCAAAAAATTTCTATATGTGACATGGCATCAGAGTTAAGTTAAGGTTTTTAAAAATGCTGACACGCCGAGCTCAAAAGGTTCGCCATCACTGGCCTAGAAAAGGCCTGCCTAGAATCCTCTAAAAATCTCTGACTCCCCGTCTTTGGGCGCTGGTGTCATTTTGGGGCTCAGCCCATCTGGTATCCAGATGAACTAATAAATTTATAATCTCTTACCACTTTGGCCTCGTGTGTTTCTCCTTCAGCAACCCTAAAAATACTCAATATTGGACCTCTTTTCCCTGGTTCCAGAGATAGTCACTGATATCAGACCATTGTCTATGAATTTACATTTTAAAAAGCCATTTATAGCCTTGATACTTTGTATAGTTTTTATTTTTATAGTATTGGTTTCATACTGTACATGGTATTCCACAACTTATTCATTTTGTCCTTAATAATTATGCTTTATTGTTTTGGTTTAAGTATGATGCTTGCAAAAGATTTTGGTACCAAGTTAAGACAAAAGAGCTCCTTTTGTTTCCGGAATGTTACAATCCATGCCCTCCCCCATCCACACCCAACCCCTCTTTGTTCTCATGCTGATTGTGTTAAATACTTTCCCCATTTGTTGCAATCATCACAAAGGGGGAAGAGAGCCTGGGAGGGGAGAAATGGAGATGGAGTGGCTATTCCAGGGTTCTGGAGGCAGACTTAGAAGATTTTTTTTTAAAATATATTTTATTGATTTTTCAGAGAGGAAGGGAGAGGGATAGAGAGTCAGAAACATCTATCAGCTGCCTCCCGCACACCTCCCATTGGGGATGTGCCCACAGCCAAGGTACATGCCCTTGACTGGAATCGAACCCTGGACCTTTCAGTCCGCAGGCCGACGCTCTATCCACTGAGCCAAACCAGTCAGGGCAGACTTAGAAGATTTTGAGTAAGGTGTTTCCACATAACTGGACCCACACAGGACTAGGTCTGAGCACTCTTGCCTGGAATATCTTTCTGTCCAGGCACCAAATGAGGACTTAAAACTTTTGAATAAAGGCATTCCAAAGTGTGGGACTCCTGGAGCCCAGCTTCCCCCAATTTATTCACGGTCAAGCAGATTCCCAAAATGTCCTGAACACTAAAGCCTAAGAGTGGTCCAGGAGCCCAGTGCCCTCTCTGGTTCTGAGACAGCAGCTTGGAAAGTGTATCATTCTGTCTGGCTGACTCTCACTAGTATGCCTTTTGCTGCACAGTATGTGAGATTGGACTACCAGATAGTGCAGACACACTGATGTGTTTGTGTGTGTGTGTGTGTGTGTGTGTGTGTGTGTGTGTTGTGTGTGTGTGTTGTGTGTGTGTGTGTATGTGTGTGTGTGTGGTATGTACTGTTCTCATTTTTCATCAGGAGGTACATATATCCACATGATTTATCACCAGGGATTTTAAGATTGAGCACTTGGTTAAGGTAGTGTTTGCCAAGTTTCTCCACCATACAGTTACTACTTTTTACTTTCCATATCTATTTTTGGAAGCAAGTCACTATATCTAGCTCACACTAAGAGTGAGGGAGGATTAAAGCCCCTGGAAAGATGAGTATTGACATATAAATCCAGAATTCTTTTGTAAAAAAGATTTATCACTTCATTTATTTCCTTGTGGACTTACTAATACCACTATGAACTCATGTATAGTTATTTTAAACTTTGGGTTATAATTCAATGCTACATTGTTGATTTTTGTGATTTAAATTATTCAGGTTTTGGCTTTTGAGGGTTCTTAATTAGGCTCCTTGTGTCCCTTTGATGTCCCCCTGAACTTTGTTTTTTGAACACATCTTAACTTTCTGGCACTACAAAAATCTCCAGGATCATCTTGCATTTTCCCTCCCTCAGACCTAGACACTGCCTTTTCCTCAGGGAGCGCTGGTTCTGTTTACTACAGAGTGGTATTAGGAACAAAGGTCTAAGCATGGAGTGTGCACACTGCTAATGGGGTATCACTGCTTCTCTAGACAGTCACAGAACAACTAAAAAATGTAGGTTTGTATGTATACTAAGCCATGTATATACACATACCTGTAATTATTTCTGTATCCATCTGTCTGTCTATCCATCTGGCTAAATATAGCTCACACTGATGTCTCTGACTCTGCTCCAGAACCACAATATATTCTGCATTATTAATACGTCCTTCATAATTTTCTTAAATTTATCATTAAAACAACAAATCAAGACCTGTTTGTTAATATTTCCTCAAATAAATATGAATAATTTTGCTTATGTTCAAGTACTCTGTTGAATATAAATGATATTCATCATTAGTAACATACATTTGAATTTGCTGGTTGAAATACTCTTGGCATCTATTTTTCTTTTGTGCAGATTCATAGTTAAGTTGCTTTACTCGATTGATTTTTCATTTATAGATTTTTCATGTAAAAAGGTAAATTCTATTATAATGAGAGAGAGGGGACTCTTTATCAGAGATTCAACCCTAATAAGTTATAAAACTCTGAGTAAATAATTTTTCCTTTCTACGCCTCTGACTTCTCCCTCATAGGTGGGCTTGAATGAAAAGAACAAGATGATCTCTAAGGTCTCCTTCAGATACTGTTATTTGACATGATGGCAGATTATTATTCTTATACTAGTGGCCCAGTGCATGAAATTTGTGAACATTAAAAGGGAATTAATTAGAGGAAATATTTTAATATTGCTATTTTCCCTTTCTCTATAATAGAAGTGTCAGAGATGAAAGAAAATTAGTAAAATGTATATGAAAATCTCCCTCCTGTCAGAGTCTGGGGCACACCCTGGGACCCAGAGTCAAGTGCCTCCCCCCCCCCAATACGTGCCTCGAAATTGCGTGAGACCCAGACCCGGCTGGCCTCACCCCCGTCAAGCCCTGCTGGGCAGGAGGCGCAGCCTCAGGTCCCCCAGCCCAGGCGTGAGGTACAAGGGTACAAGGGTGCAAGGGCGTGAGGGTGTGACAACCATTTGCATATTAGCTCTTTATTATATAGGCTATTTGCTGTTTCCTCCTGTGAAAGCTTGATGATTCCCCCTCCTGTGATGTCAGGCTTAGTCACGTGGCTCATGGTGTCCTTTCCTGTGGGAAGGTTATACCTCCCAGCTCAGTGATGTCAGGTGTTGCCAGGTTACATTCATTGGCCACGGGAGTGTAAGCGGAAGTTGTGTGCCATTTCTGGCCAGAAGCTCTAAGAAGAGACATTCTATGTCCTGCTCTCTCTCTTTTTACTCTGCCACAACAGTGACAAAATTCCACATAGAGGCTACTTTGTACCCAGATCATGAAGGGAAGGGGATGTGGAGCACACACTAATCACTAGTAAGAACATTTTTGTTGTTGTAAATGCTGTAAATCCCTGAGAGACTGAGATTTTTATTATTGTAGTATAAGCAAGCAAAAGAAGATTGGTA